TAAGTGTTTTGCTCCCTGCTTGGGAGAAAGTATCTAGCTTAAGCCCTGTGACAAAGAACTATTGGGCACAATGGGACCAGTTGAAGCTTGAAGATTGTATTCTTCTCCAGAGATGGGAAACTGCAGATGGGAAAGTGACGACCTGGCAACCGGTTAGACTGAGAAAGTTAAAGGAAGCTGTTCTGCGTCAATTCCATGATAGTTTAACAGGAGGACATCTCGGAGTTAAGAAGACATTGAGTCACCTACGACAGAGATTTTACTGGATAGGTATGAGGCAAGATGTGGAAGAATGGTGCAGGACCTGCAGTACATGTTGTGCTAAAAGGGGACCGAAACATAAGGGACGTGCTTCAATGAAGTTATATTCTACTCAGTTTTTGAGAAGGGAAACAGTGAAGCCCTTGATGAAGTTACTACCACTGATGTGACTATTACCAATAATAGGACATTTCCTGATGGAGCAGATGAATTAGTGGGTCATCAAAAACAACCAACATTAAGCAGAAGAAGCTTCCTAATATCAATGAGTCTACCACAGAAGAACAAGAATGCAATTTGAGGGTCATCAAAAACAACCAACATCAAGCAGAAGAAGCTTCCTAATATCAATGAGTCTACCACAGAAGAACAAGAATGAGATTAGTGGGTCATCAAAAACAACCAATATTAAGCAGAAGAAGCTTCCTAATATCAAAGAGTCTACCAGAGAAGAACAAGAACGCGATTAGTGGGTCATCAAAAACAACCAATACTAAGCAGAAGAAGCTTCCCAATATCAATGAGTACCACAGAAGAACAAGAACTGTCAACTCTTTTTTTTTTTTTTGGCCTTTGATGCTTCTGGAAACAGACCTGTGATATTGTCATTAGTTCCAGGATTTGCAAACAAATTTAGACATAGAGCATTGGACAAAAAATACCCCAAAGTGTTATCAGAGTTATATGATTAGGATTGCTCATCTGTTAATAAGGGTATCTTGACAAATAACTGTGACAAAGTTTTTGATGGGTTACATGTCACTTCTGAAGAAGGTGCAAACTGTGACAATTATATAAGAGCACAAGCAAACAATAAACAGTGGTTTAGTTTTAGGAGTGGAAGGATCACAACTTCTTGAGTTAAGGCTGTTTGCTGCACATCAGTAGATAACCCATCAAAGAGCATGATCAAAGATACTTGTTACCCTGCATCAAAATCATTCACTGCTAAACAAAAATGTGGGTTTGTGACCATGAAAAAGATGCCAAGAAACAGTATATCAACATTATAATGGAAAAGCATAAGAATTTCTC